GATCGGTTTTTTTGTCAGTTTTTTTTATATATAAAACCGACGGTTAACCGGTCGGTCTTGGACTGAAACCGAACCATAACCGAACCGGTAAAAACTGGTTATAATCGGTTATAACCGAAACTTTTGGCATCCCTAACCGTTAGTACTATAAATGAACTAACCTTTTTCAAATATTAATTTTGAAAAAAAATAAAATTATTAAAAATTTCAGTAACTAAAATTCGTTATTTTTGATTTGAACAATATAGATAAATAAATTGTTTTAAGTGTAAAAATGTCAAATTGATCCTATCAAAATACTATTACATCCATTTCATTGTAAGCATCAGAATGTAGTGTCTAGATTAAAATTGTGTATAAGAAACCATTCATGTTTCAATTGTTTCATGGGATCTGACAATATACCATGTTTACTAGTAATTACATGGTTAAAATTCAACATGCGTATATATTCAAGATATGAATATTATTCGAAAGTTATTTATTTAGGTGACATTATTAAAGTTTATGGCAATAATAATTCATTATACTCACTGTTGCTAAATTCCTAAAAAAATTATTACTGTAATAAAATTTAATAAATTAGAAATATTAATAATGAGCTTAAGGTATTAAACCTAGATAAGGAGCGAACTTTTGAGCAAAATAAGACATTGGAGGTAGTAAGAATATGTACAAAATATTTACGTCAATTTACCAAAAGAATTACAAAAATGATGAGTTGATACAAAATTATTTTGTCTCTAACTTTAATAGTAATATTAAAATCACGTCTATCATCGAGTGATTGAGATAAAAATCATTAACTTTTTGCAAGGAACAATTTGTGAATCGGGACAAATATTTTTTAAATTCAAGTTCTTTGTAACTCAACACTTTAGTGTTTTAATTAAGTTGGTAAATCTTCGATTTTGTAAAACACAAAGAAATATAATTCCGTTTCTTATAACGTTAAAAGTTAATGGCGGATGAGTTGAAATTCGTCATTGCATATTTCAAAGCCCATTTTTATGCAACGTACATAAAACGAAAAAGGATTTAGATCAACTTCCTTCATTTAATTTATAAGATATTTTAAAGCACAAATTATGTTTCGTAAAAATAAAATTAAGTGATATTTATAATTAATATATAAAAACAAATACAACAAAAGTCTTATACAAATAGTTGAAATATTGACTTCTATTGATAACCGTGAGTCTATAATTAGTTTATCTAGTTTTATTACGTTTTCCTACTTTAGATATTTTAGAATTGGTTAAAATAAAATATATATATATATAAAAACGAAAATAAACATCATCAAAGCCAAATAAATATTTACCATTATCGTCATTGGTTTCAAGATTTAATTCTTCAATGTTTCGCTTTGATGAATTTTGAGTTTTTATGCTTAAATTTTGTGATGATGAACTAAATAACAATTTGATTTCAATTAATTAGTACAATGTAATACCACTTAAAAATATAATTGAAATACCTTTCAGTTTCTATATCAAGCTCTAATTCTGCCAGTGTTCAGAAATGACCTGGTCATTTGACCATTTTTCGGATTAGGAGTCATTTGGTCAAATGACACCCCATCATTTGGCATTTGGCATTTGAATTATT